TCCAGTCCCCTCCTCATCCTCGTAGCCCTCCACTGGACTCTCTCCAGAGTCTTGTTGGGCTCCACAAAGGGCTTTGCCGGCCCTGCCGATGGGAAGGATTATTTTGGCTGCGGCAGAAGGCACTCACGAATCCCTTCTACCCCCCTCCGGCTCCGCGGCGCAGGGTGGGAAGCCTGCTTGCTCTGCAGAGGTGCTGCCCATCCGTGCTGCACCAGAGATGGAGAAGCTCCGAGATGGCCTCGGACCCTGCCCAGCCCGTGCAAGCTGTCGTCCCCTGGCCGAGCTGGGAATGGATGGATTGCCACAGCAATCCGCTGCTGAAGGGGAGCCAGCTCCCTGCAGTTTATTTAAAAGCAGAAGAGATCCAAAAGCTCCCTTGCAGGGGAGGGAACACAGCTGGGGCCCTGAATTTCCCACTCGCTTAAGCACGTGAATAAATCCCGCTGGTTTACATCTGTAAAGTGCTTCAGAGAGCGAGTAGTCGCTCGGGGGACGGGGGTGAGCTGCTCTCCGGGTAATGTGATTATTCGTGGCTGTCTGGGCTTGGCTCATCCATGTGCGAGTGCAGCTGGGCTGCTCCCAGGGAACACTGCGGATGGGTGCAGCCACCGCTCATCCCCTTTCACAGAAGCACAGAATGTTCGGGGTTGGCAGGGCCCTCTGTGGGTCACCCAGCCCAACCCCCTGCCCAAGCAGGGTCAACCAGAGCCGGCTGGCACGCACCGAGGAACTTCCCATGCTCCAGTTTGTGCCCGTTGCCCCTTGTCCTGTCACTGGGCACCATTGGAAAGAGTTTGTCCCTGTTCTCCTGACACCCACCCTTGAGATATTTGTAAGTATTTATTAGTTCCCCTCTCAGCCTTCTCTTCTCCAGGCTGAACAAGCCCAGCTCCCTCAGCCTCTCCTCGTAGGAGAGATGCTCCAGTCACCTCCTCATCTTTGTAGCCCTCCGCTGGACTCTCTCCAGTAGCTCCTCATCTTTCTTGAACTGGGGAGCTCAGAACTGGACACAGTATTGCAGATGGGGCCTCACTAGGGCATCTCTCCTGTCACCCAAAAAGCCATCGCTGTCCCCTGCCAGTGGCCAACCTGACGGCAAATACCCCTGTCCTCGGGACCGCAGACACCCCTGGTGCTGAGTTCTCCTCCCGTCTCTCTTCCAGGAGCCGGGGCATCCTTCACTCCTTCTCGGGGACAGAGACCAACAAGATCTGGCCCTACGTCTACACCCTGCTTTCCAGCAAGATCCCGCCCGTTCTTGTGGATGAGGAGAACTAAACAGCTCGGGCCAAGGACCAAGAGTTCACGCCACCACGGATTTGGTTTCTCTGCGCGGTGCTGGGAGCGTGCTTGGATTAGGCGATCGTGCGGTATCTAAAGTCCCTTCCCCGGGTGTACTGGGTGACAGCAGTGGACACACGGTTATAGCCAGTATGGGGGCGAAAAGATCTTTGCTTATAAGGTCAAGTCTGCTAGAATAAGGGTTTTTTTTTCTCTTCTGAGGCTCTCAAGCATTGCTGCCTGTGGTCCAAGTGCCCCCACAGACTGGTGATGCAGACCTGGGTAAGGATCGTACCAGGTTCACGCCGCTTGCCGTGATGTCCCTGCCACCCCGCCACAAACCCCAGGCCCTTTTTCAGCCGCCGACCGCGTGCCGTCCTGTTGCTCCCCAGCACCATTTACCGCAGAGCAGATGACTCTTCCACGTTGTTTTTTTTCCGAATTGAAATGTTTTTCTATTAGATTTGTTTCTCAGAGAAAGAAGGCTCTAAAAAGCTAAGGCTCAGCCCGGTGGGAATTGGTGAGCACATGGAAAACATTTACACTACGAAGCTGAGAAATGTGAAGGTCGCCTTTCCAGCGTGAATGCACACAAAAGAGGGAAAACGCTGGAGCTGAAACACGCGCTTGTGCTTCTTCCGTAGAGAGAAGTGAAACCCCTGTTTCAAAAAGCTGCCTGGTTTCCATGAGCTGCTGCGACGGCGAGCAGGGTCTGTGCTGGGGATGAGTCGCCCTCCTTTGTGCTTACCTTCTTTGTAGCTTTTAATGCTCTGAGTTATGGTCCTGTTGTAAGGGTTCCTCCCCAAGATTTGTTTTGAGGCGTGCTGCAGATCTGGGGAGAAATCAAATCATTCCATCTCCTGGGCTGCCTTTGCCCCTGAGGTCCCCTGAGCATCCCCGGCAGAAGCGGCTCCCTACAACGCCGGGGCCCTTCCCTTCGCCGGGACGCGTGCGGGGGCTGCCGAGGGCCGTGCCCCGGTATTTCCCCGAGCTTTACAGCAGCGTCGGAGCGTGTCGCTCCTCTGCTCGCGGCCGGGTGGAGCGGCTGTTCTCAACTGGAAGTGCTGTAACCCTCCTCGGTGGCAGGATGCAGGACCTAAGCAATGGGGATGTTCTTTTCGTCTCCTCGAGTTGCCTTATTTTATAGAAATATATATTTAAGAAAAAAAGCAAGATGTGTATTTTTAAAGGTTTAAGCAACAACAGAGAAAAGTGCTGAATTTTCGCATCGGCTTTCGGGAGCTCTGCGCGAAGCCGCCCGCGTTCGCAGAGCGTGCCGCAGTCTGCCATGGGTGGCTCAGCGGGGAGGCGGAAAAGCTGTCGCTCCCCGACACCCGTTTGATTAATTAGAGCAGCCTGGGCACGTTTCTGTTGCTGAATTATCACTGTTTTTATTTTTGCTTGGAGAGCGGCCCTGCGGCAGGGGAAGGGGAACTGACTGGCTTTTTTAGGGATGCAGGGGCTCCGCATGCCAGACTTCAGCACATCCCCGGGGAGTCTTTGGTCCCCGCTGAGCCACCTGCGTGCTGGTGCTGAGCCCCTGAGATGCCCGTCTCCGGCCAGCTTTGCCCCGGTCCTGTCCTGATCACGGAGCCAGAAGCCGTCGGGTATCTGCCGAGCGGGATCTCTGCCTGCTCATTGCCTGCCTGCCGGGGGTGAAACGCAGCGGTGGGCTCCGCACCCCGCTCCGGATGGGAATTACCTGAGCGGGAGCGGAGGGACCACCATGTTTCCCTGCTGTCCCTGGGGGCCTTTCCAGTCCCCTCCCCGGAGCTCCCAGGCTGGGAGGATGCAGCTCTTCCACCCTGCAATGAAACCCTGGCTAAGAGCGATTTTAGATTTTCTCACGACCCTCGGATGAAGGTCTGGGCCATTTTTTAAACGTAAATCTAGAAATGGCCAAAACGTATCTGCTGTTTTCTTTCTACCAGGGTTGGGCAGGACGGGAGGAGATGATGGGGGGGTGGTTTATTTCAGGCTATCAAAGCAGCCAGGCCACAGCGAGCGGCTGTGCCCTGCTTTTCCTCGCCTAGCTCTTGCGTCTTCATCCTTCCCCGCTGCAAAATACCTCCCGCGGAGAGGCTCGTCCCGTGCAGCGCCCGGCGGCAGGACAGGGCTTGCAGATGGCCCCAGGAGAGCCGCCCGCGCGCTTGTTGTAAAGGCTTTCGGCCCCGTAGTAGGTGTAGGAATCCCACGGCCGTGCGTGCGTCGAGCCTTCGGTCGAGATTTTTCTACAAGAGTTGTCACACGGGGAGGGAGGGGGGGATCACCCCGCACGGGCCACCCCCGGCGCGTCGCGCCAAGTTTTCTTCCCGGAGTTTCTTCCCGGTGAATCGCTGCAGCTGTTCTTACTGCTCGAAAGGTGTAAATAAAATTTTTCTCCTGCTTATCCCCGGGTTGGCAGCGTCTGTGTGTGAGTTATACCCGGTCTCCGCTGAAAGCTGCGCTCTGCGTGAGCGCTTGCCCCGGTAGCCGGTCATTTTTGACCTGGAGTTTCTTCGTAGGAGCCGAGGAGGAGGAGGGGGGAAGAAGAGGAGTCAGAGCATCCCCACTTGAAGAGAGGAGACAATCACTCAGTAAAGGGGGTCCCCCAGGTTTTGGGCTTGGGCACAATACTGCTGTTTGGGTCCTGTTTCACAGCCAACTCCTTTATTTGGGTGTCAGGAGAACGGGGCCAGACTCTTTCCAGTGGTGCCCAGCGACAGGACAAGGGGCAACGGGCACAAACTGAAGCATGGGAAGCTCCAGCTGAACCCAAGGAAGAACTTCTTCCCTCTGAGGGTGACGGAGCCCTGGCCCAGGCTGCCCAG